TTTTTTTTTTTTTTTTTATTATTATTATTTTATTATTTTTTTATTTCATTTGACGTTACAATTTGAATACTACGAGAAAGTTTCATATCATTCTTTATTTAAAAAAAATTACAAAAAAATGGGCCATTAAATTTTTGAAAGGTTTTTTTTTTATTTTTTATTATTATTATTATTTTATTATTTTTTTATTTCATTTGACGTTACAATTTGAATACTACGAGAAAGTTTCATATCATTCTTTATTTAAAAAAAATTAGAAAAAAAAGGGGCCATTAAATTTTCGAATGGTTTTTTTTTTTTTTTTTTTTTATTATTATTATTATTTTATTATTTTTTTATTTCATTTGACGTTACAATTTGAATACTACGAGAAAGTTTGATATCATGCTTTATTTAAAAAGAAATTAGAAAAAAAAGGGGTCATTAAAATTTCGGAAAGTTTTTTTTAAAAATTTTTATTATTATTGTTGTTATTATATTATTTTTTTATTTCATTTGACGTTACAATTTGAATACTACGAGAAAGTTTCATATCATTCTTCTTTTAAACAGAAATTAGAAAAAAAGGGGCCATTAAATTTTCGAAAGGTTTTTTTTATTTTTTTTATTATTATTATTATTTTATTATTTTTTTATTTTATTTGACGTTACAATTTGAATACTACGAGAAAGTTTCATATCATTCTTTATTTAAACAGAAATTAGAAAAAAAGGGGCCATTAAATTTTCGAAAGGTTTTTTTTTACTTTTTTTTTTTATTATTATTATTATTTTATTATTTTTTTATTTCATTTGACGTTACAATTTGAATACTACGAGAAAGTTTCATATCATTCTTTATTTAAAAAGAAATTAGAAAAAAAGGGGCCATTAAATTTTCGAAACGTTTTTTTAAAATTTTTATTATTATTATTATTATTATTATTTTTATTATATTATTTTTTATTTCATTTGACGTTATAATTTGAATACTACGAGAAAGTTTCATATCAGACAATGCTTTTCTTGTAGAAGGTAGTAATCAAAACCTAAAATTTCGAAGTAATATCTCCAACTGAGGTCAGGAAAATCTTCTTAGTTTGTTCTGCTAATTATTTGAATTCGAGCCTTTTTTTAATACAATATATTAAGTTAATAAATAAGACGAGCTTTAAAAAATTACTGAACTTTAGACAACATATTAAAACATATTAAAGGCATGAAAACACATTAACTACAAATAGAAATTGAATTACCTCACCAATTTTAATAAATTTGAGTTTTTTCTTCATGTGGAAATGGGCAGTTTTCATTAAGTAAAAAAAATGTAGTTAGAAGAATTTTTAAAAATTTTTTTTTATTACACATCAGATAGAATTTGAAAAAACATTCAGTGGAACAAATGATTTCGCGGTTGTATAGCAATAAAAATAAGCATTATTTCAATATTTAAATCTGATTTTATATTTTGAGAAATCATGTTTGTATCCTCATAAATATTGGATTACGTCTAATAATTTCCTTGCTAAAAAAAGATGCAAAAAAAAAAAAAAAAAAAAAAAGTTTAAAATTTGCTTTAATCAGTCAATAATTAATCAGTAATAATTAATTAATCAGTCAATAATAATTTCATAAATTAAAAATTTAAATATTTAATATTTTAATTATAATATTAAAATAATATTAATATATTAAAAATTATTATTATTATTATTTATTAAAATGATAATAATATATAAGATAATAATAATAAATGATAAACGATAATAATAAATTTTTACATAATACATATTGGATAAGTGTAACAACCTATTGAAATAATATCTAAAAAGTGAAATAACAATTCAATCATTTGATCGTTCTTCATGTTATGTCTCTCGTTATAGCTCATCTTGAAAATATGTCTTCACCAAACTTATTTATAAATGTCTTGAATTTAAATTATATGTAAAATTAAATCATTTGAATATAACATCATTAGTGAAAGATATAGATTTATATAACTAAAAGTATAAAAGCATTTATTATTGATAATTAGTGTATTTATTATTGGTAATTTTATGTATTTATCGTTATTTTTCTAAAATATGATAAATAAAATTATATAATCATTATATAATATCATGATTAATGATTAATTAAATTAAATAGATAATTAATTATTTAAATAATGATTAAATATTTATATAATCATTATATAGATATTTAATCATTATTTAAATATCTTCGTTAGATTGATGAAAATAAGATTGTTAGTGCAAATAAATTATTTAAAAAACTATTTTCTTATATATATCAAATACTAACATAAAGGCGATCATTTCTGTCACAAGCAATTGCAGTTTGAAAATTAGGGGCAGTCCATTTTCATATAAAGGGAGTAAGAATACACGAGATAAAAATCGATATTTCATAAAATCGATACTTCAACTGGTGGATGAGCAACATGTATCCTCACGCGGTCCCGGAGTGCCCCTTTCCCCCTTGACGATGAGTCATCCAACTCCCCCTCCCCCTGGATTTCATTTCTCCCTCTCATAGGGCAAAAGACAACTCTTTAAAATGGCCGCCTGTCTGTTGCTTAAAAACAAAATGGCTGCCTTCTGCCTGTGGGAATGGCAGCCATTTTGTTTTCATTTTACTTATTCGATACGGATGTCATTTTATTTAGGGAATTTTTTGCATTTGTTAGTGATTCAATTTTAATGATTTACAAAACAGATATTCCAAGCTCAGAACTGAAAAATTTAGGATCTTAGTTATTAATGCTGTTCAATTAAAAAAATAAATAATATTTAAAAATTTTTCCTCGTTTGTCCACCTTTTAAATTCTTAACTGAATAGTTTATTTTAATAGCTTTTACTGGCTAAATCACTTTTAAATTTTCTTAATCTTGATTAATTGATTTATTTTTTTAATTTTTAAATTGTTTATTTTCAATTTATAATAATAATAATAAAATAATTTTCTTTTTATTAACTTTTTAAAGATTTTAATTCAGTAGTTAATCTTAATAGCTCTGGTCAAATCTTAAATTTAAACTTACTATTTAATTGCTTATATTGTTTTATTAAAACCATATAAATAAATAAAAAAACTGCCTTTTTTCCCCTATCTGAAACCAAAATGATGGCGCCATCTGTTGGAGTATCTGACAACTAGAAAATGAAGAAGTTTTGTATTTTTTTTGCTTTGAGCTGATGGTTTGGTTGTAACTGATGCAACTGCTGACTTGCTATATTTTTATCTTTTTTACTTTTTCATTTCGAAATTTTTGATTTTTAATTCCTTATTTTATTTTTACTTAGCTTAAAATTTAAAATTTTTAACTTTAACTTTTTATTTTTGGGCATCCTATAGCTTTACCTTTAACCGATAGCTTTAGCTTTTTCGATCTCTTGTTTTAATTGGTCTCAAGCAAGAGATGTTTTCCTTAAATTTTTGTTTTTCTTTTATATTTTTATTCTTTAATTTAAGTAACTTCATTTTGTGCAAATATTTTAACTACTTTAAGATGTGGAGGTTTTCGTAGTTCTTAAAACCACATAGGAACTCCGTAACCGGTATGCCCGTTGTCCTTAAATAATAATAATAAAAATAGTCGGCTGGGCTGATATACAGGCTATTCCTAAAATTTAGAATTTAATGTAAGAACTAAACGCATAACAGCAATCTTAAAAAATAAGAGAATTATAGAATTCCAAACGTTGTTAATTTCTTGAAAAATCTCATTTTCACTTTGAAATAAAATCAGGTTTGCTTTCAACAGACTCTCATTTTCAACAATCTTACATTATTTAATTACTTAATAATATAATTATTAGCTTGCGAAAGAGATTTAATTAAATATTAGAGAGTTTTTACATACCGTACGTTAGTTACCATAGGACGTCCGTTAGCTTTTTCTCCCTAGCGCGCATGCTCATAGGAAACTGAGCATGCGCGCTAGGGAGAAAAGCTAACGGACGTCCTACGGTAACTAATGTACGGTATGCAAAAACTCTCTATTATGTATAAAAAAAACTTGTGAAATAAATAAAAATAAGCAAATTGCTCGGGAAAGAAATCTAAAAACAATTAACCAATAAGAATAATTGGATCAAAGAAAAGAAAAACCTCGCTCCCCAAAACAATATTCATATATTTTATGGGTAAAAAATAAGTAAATAAAAAAAATTAAAAATTAAAAAAAAAAAAAAAAAAAAAAAAAAAAAAAACCCGCTTTCTATTTTCCTGGTCAAGCTCAAAAGAAATTTATTTTACATCAATTTTCAAGATCGAAAGAATGTAGACTAGTTCATTTTAAATGCTAAATGCTTAATTTCATTTGCAAAGAGATAGATTATTTGTATTTATTTTATCAATCAGTTTTTTTTCTACGTGTATTCGAGAAATTGAAGGAAATAGTTTCGATATTTTCATTGCTTCTTTTCTTTAGAGTATTTAAAAAAATGAGTTATTTTCAAAACCATCAATTAACTTATTTATTAAATAATTTCAATGGACGAGTCAATAATTAAATTATGTTATTTCAAAAAGTATCGGTGATTTAATTGTAGATTTATAAGCGATGTTTATTTTACTTAGGAGTAGGTCTAACCACGCAGCTGATATTTCAACCTTAATTAAAAAAATTTTCATCCTATGTAGCTTAATTTTTTTGCTCTTCAAACGTTAGGGAAAAAAAAAATCATTACATTTGTAAACTCTCTAGAGTTTATAAATGTTGTTGTTGTTGTTTCTTATCCCACTTGGCTGGCCAAGCCCACGAGCCCATACGTACTCACGATTGAAGGGGAAGGAAGAAGCATCTATTGTGATGGAGCACCACGTAGGTAGAAGTCTGACTTTGGCTCCGTCACGCTCTTACAGTCATAGGAGACCGGGACCTACGGCTTAAAGTGGATTCCGAACCACTATAAATATCCATGGCACCGCCTGGATTCGAACCTGAAACCCGTGGCACCGAGCGCCAGAGCGCTAGACACTCGGCCATTCAGGTCCCAAATTTGTGAATGCCAACGGCACGCGGTGTTCCCAGATGGTCACCCACCCAAGTACTGACCGCGCCCAATGATGCTTGACTTCGGTGGTTTATAAATGTAATGAATTTTAACTCATACATTTATAAACTCTAAAGAGTTTATAAATGTAATGAGTTAGTAATGTAACATTCAGTGAATTTCGCTGCTTTTGCTTCAGTATATATATATATATATATATATATATATATATATATATATATATATATAAAACTTACAGTCTGCTTTATACCACTGTGCCCAAAAAGTAAGAACAATTCTCAATTTAAAATTCCTAGGGCTTATGGAATTTCAATTTTTTCTTTTTTCGGTTGCTGGCACTGTCCTTGACATCTGTGTGAAATATGACGTCAAAATATTCATTAGTGTTTGAGTTACGCTTGGCTTTGTGAGAAGCTAAAACTGAATCCGTCGATTTTTGAAATGTCTGAATTAATTGAGCAAAGAACTTGCATTAAATTTTGTTTGCAGAAACGTATAGAATGTTGCGGAAGGCATTCGGTGAGCATTCCTATATCGGAAAGAAATGTTTAGAAGTGGCATAAACAGTTCAAAGAATGCAGAGAACGCATCGAAGAGGAAGAGATCTCTGGTCGACCATCAACCTCAACCGATGAAGCTCACATGCAAAAAATTAAAGATTTGGTACTTGCAAACCGTCGATTTATAATTAGAGACCTTGCTGATGATGTTAGAATTTCAAAAGAATCAATCAACTCTCAATTGGTACCGAAAACACTGAATGCACCAGCTCACACTGTATTGATTCTTCGTAACTTTTTCGCCAAAAATGAAACCCATATCTTTCCACAACCACCGTATTCACACCGTGCGACTTCTGACTATTCCCTAAAGTCAAAAACCACTCCGGGGACAGCATTTTGAGTCGATTGAAGAGATTCAACGTAAATCGCCGCACGCTTTGAAGCCCATCCCTGCCGATGACTTTTTAGCAGGCATTTATGATTGGAAAAAAAAGTTGGTCTCATAAGCGCATTGTGTCCGGAGGGGATCACTTTGAAGGCGATGAAATAAATTCGGAAGAATAAATAAAGAGTCTTTGAAAAAAAAAAAAAAAAAATTGGTCTTATTTTTTGGGCACAGTAGTATGTATATATTTTTGAGACTTTATAAAGTAGCAAAAACACTCTAATTTTCTTATCGCATTGTTTTACAGTTCAAAATTATCACTGAATTATTTTTTATTTATTTTGTTCCGGATTAAACTACAGGAAAGCTTTTTAAGTGGCTTACCATACTTTTCTTTAGTTTATAAATTTATTTTCATATTAAATAAAATAAACAGAGTGCATTTTATTTCTCAAACTTTTTTGTCTGGCCCTCTCTTAACAAGGAAAATTTATCGCGTCTCCATTTCCTACAATTATACGTCAAAGTCTTTTGGATGTCAGCTAGAATTAAAAGTATTTAAAACAATAATCTGTATAACAATTATAAATTTCAATGCGAGTTTTAAAATGTAATGATAACTAGCACATATTTAATTTCCTACTGGAAAATTTAAATGATACCAATTTAGATCATGAATAAAGAGAATGAACTAAAATATTTTAAAACTGCAGGAACTGCAGAAACTATGAAAAAATTTCCCTGACTTTTCCCCGACTAAACTTATATTTCTCTGATTTACGGTTACTTATATTAGTTTCTTGCCTTTTTCCTCACTCAAAATCACTGTATGTGTACAATATACATTATTAAAAACTCTTTAACAGGTTATTTAATATGAAAATATATATATATAAAATTTAATTTAAAAGAAATGGAATAAACATCCAAAAAAAAAATCTATTAAAACAGTATATTACATTTCTTATATGTAAAAAATGCTGGACATTTCAACAAAATAATAAATTTATCTTAAATTCAAAGATAGCACGCGTCATGAAATATGCTACTCATGATTTTGCAAAAGTAATAAACATTGATAACAGCTGAGTATATGAAAAGTAATAAATAAAAAGACAGCGAAAACCGATCTTTCCAAAAGTTTCATTGGGTTGCTGTTAGCTACATTCATCAGCTTATAGTTTTTCTTATCGTAATGAAATTCCAAAAAGTCGCCATACCCTTGAAAGAAAGCTGTCGCAGGTTGTTGTTCTATAATCGTTAACTTGACAACATTAGGCTTCAGATGTAGAGAAATAATTGAGCGAAATCGCCTATCGCACGCATGCTGGGCGCGAAATGCTCTAGTCTGCAATTTTTCCTGATTTTTCGTTATTTTCTACGAATTTCCCTGATTTTTCGGTTCTGTCACCACCCTGTTTTAGTACAAACCAAATATTTAGAAATATTTGGTTTTGAGTTGCAGTTTGATAAGTCAAATAATAAACATTTACTCTCGCATAAATATTCTTATTGGGAAAGAAATCAGTACCCTTAATGTTTAAAAATCATATATTCTTTACCAATGTAAGAAATACTCATTATATTTTGAAATTCATAGTTAGTGTTCATTCAAAAGTTCTTCCATTTTATTTTTGTTACTTATTTTCTTTTATTAAGGCGTTACAATTTTAATCAGAATTAAACACGCAACATTTCCAGTTGATATATAAAATGAGAGGTAAAATTAACTTCTTTGTTAAAGTGTATCCATGATTCTTACTTAGTGAAATAATAACGTTGATAAATCACAATCCATCGTTTTTGATTATCAGCCAAGAAAGAAATTCGGTAAATTGCCCCCTTTTAACTTGTATTTTCATGTCAAATGTCAACATTTTGTTTTTAATAGTGTTTATTTTTCCATTTCTAATTTTTCTTTTCACAATGTTGAAGTGCTATATTAACTCTAATTCAATTTCTAATTCTTGTGATTATTTACACAAATTTTTTCAAATATGGTTAATCATATTTCTGAAATAAAATATAAACTTATTCAATGGTGTTTTCATATCTTTTTGCACATGAATATTGGGGTCATGGGAAATTTTTTTAATTTGATAGAGAGGCTACGAACCGAATGAATTTAAGAATCAGCGATATACATGATGTCGAAACTCTGATATTGTCCAACCTTAATTAGGCGCGTGCAGCATAAATAAATATAAGGTAACTGTAATTAAACTTGGTCTATAGAGAACATCATTAACCAGAAACCGACTGACAAGAGAATAACAAGTAATATATAAAAAAAAAAAAAAAAAAAAAATGTAAGTCTATTCCTACTTTTTTTTCACTATATTGCAGAAAGTCCTTTATAAATAATTTTCATTCCTTTTTTTAAATTTTATCTGGCGCCATCTATTGGTAGATATATGCAACTTAAATCTAAAAAAAAAAAAAAACTAAAATTAATTAAATAAATTTAATTACTGAATTAATATTTGAAAAAACTGTATTAACATCCAGTGTCATCCACTACAAGTTCAAAAAAATATATTTGAACTTGAGTGGAGAAATAAAAAGTATTTTATTAACGATTGAAAATTTGAACAAGATATACACACTGAAGTGACAAAAGTCATGGGATACCTCTTAATATCGTGTCGGCCCTCCTTTCGCCCGGCGAAGTGCAGCAACTCGACGTGGCATGGACTCAAGAAGTCGTTGGAAGTCTTCTGCAGGAGTATTGAGCCATGCTGTCTCGATAGACGTCCATAATTGTGAAAGCGTTGATGGTGCAGGATTTTGGGCACGAACAGACCTCTCGATAATGTCCCATAAATGCTCGATGGGATCCATGTCGGGCGATCTAGGTGGCAGATCATTCGTTGGAATTGTCCAGAATGTTCTTCAAACCAATCGCGAACAGTTGTGGCCCGGTGACATGGCGCATTGTCATCCATAAAAATCCCATCGTTGTTTGGGTACATGAAGTCCATGAATGGCTGCAAGTGATCTCCAAGTAGCTGAACATAAGCATTTCCAGTCAATGTTCGGTCCAGTCGCACCAGAGGACCAAGTCCATGCCATGAAAAAACAGCCCACACCATTACGGAGCCACCACCAGCTTGAACAGTGCCTTGCTGACAGTTTGGGTCCATGGCTTCGTGGGGTCTGCGCCACACCCGAACCCTACCATCAGCTCTTACCAACTGAAATCGTGACTCATCGGACCAGGCCACGGTTTTCCATTCATCTAGGGACCAACCGATATGCTCACGTGCCCACGAGAGTCGCTGCAAGTGATGTCGTTCTGTCAGTAAAGGCACTCGAGTCGGTCTTCTGCTGGAATAGCCCAAGAAAGCCAAATTTCTGCGCACAGTTCTAACAGACAAGTCCCTTGTACGTCCCACATTGATTTCTGCGGTTATTTGACGCAGTGTTGCTTGTTTGTTAGAATTTACGACTCTTTGCAGACGTCGCCGGTCTCGGTCGTTAAGTGCAGGCGGTCGACCACTGCGCTGTCCATGGTGGGATGTTATGCCTGAAATTTCATACTCTCGGCACACTCTTGACACAGTGGATCTGGGAATGTTGAATTCCCTAACGATTTCCGAAATAGCATGACCCATGCGTCTAGCTCCAACTAACATTACGCGTTCAAAGTCTGTTAATTCCCGTCGTGCGGTCATCATCACGTCAAAACCTCTTCACATGAATAACTTGAACAGAAATGAAAGCTCTGCGAAAGGACTGCGCATTTATACCTGTTCTACGCGATGCTACTGCCATCTGAAAATTTGCATATTGCTATCCCATGACTTTTGTCACTTCAGTGTATAGGGAGAGTGTGAGCTAATAGAAGAAAATGAAAGAATCAGCTGTGGGAATTTTTTAGCCCATTGTTGCAAATAGAACTTATGAAATGATCAATATGCAACACGGTATTTTAAGCATTACGTTGTGTTTTGCTGTCTATATTCTTGCAATATTAAAAATTGAACGATGCCAGCCACATTGAGCAGAGTCCAAGTACACGACTAAAAGTTGCTTAGTTCTTAATTTTCTCTTGCATTCCCCGTTTTATACGCCTACAGATTACGTTAATTGAACTGTTCGGATACAATAAGTTAATAAAAATTGAAAATGTTATTTGTGGTGGTTATAGTAGCAGTCACCAAACTTTTTTGATCGTGTATA